TAGAAGCTAGTAAGAAGAAACTCTTAGAAACAAGAAGCTCCTAGTAACAAGTGCACCGCTACTAGTAACAAGTGCCTTACTGTTAGCAACAAAAAGCTATTAGAAACAAGAAACTAGCCAGTAACAAGAAACTACTTTTTCTTCGCCTTTGTTGTTCTTCGCCTTTTTTCTCCTCGCGCTCGCTCTCCTCGCGTCACCGCCTTGTGCAAGCGCTCTTGGCCGAAGCAAATGCACGTCACCGCCTCGGCACCCGGAGATCCGAAAAGAGAGAAACAAAGGGTGATAAAAACAAGAAAGCACAAATTAAGATGTATTATTGAGACTTATTGATGTAATTTGTGAATACTTTTTTACATTCGCATCCAGTCGAAAGCCTATGGCTTATGGAGTTAAGCAGCAAATGCCAAAAGCTGAATTATGGCTAGGCCGACTAAACCGAAGCCGCCGCTCGCAAACATCTCAACGAGCAAAAGCTAACTGGCAAGGTGCCTTGATGGGTGACCACTTCCGCGTACACAGGCAACCTTGGTTGATGCATTCCGCTCGGGTCCCTGTTGGGACCCCAGTAGGGCAACCTTTCAGGCTGCGCACAATGGACCTTCTTGGCCTTCTGTATGGCCACAGCCCAATCATGAAGCTGTAACAGTGCCCTACCGCGCGGCTCAGCTGACAGCAGCTCGCACCACCGACGCAGGCACCCATGGTCCATCTCATGCTGCATGCCCCACAAAAAGATCGAGCCCAGCAAAATGCCAGTTTCCATGCCCTCCCATTCGTGGTAAAAAGACTGCGCATCCTGTGCAGTGGCAGCAGCCTTCGTGAACTCCTCCCCAATGACAAACAGGATATCCTGATCTGAGCGAAAAGAGACACCAGATTCCTCCAAGTCATCCTTCAGGTCAAGGAAGTCCTTTTCAAGGGTGAGAGCATCGTCCCACTCGGCACCAAAAACCTTGGGGCCATAAAGTGGCACAGCCTCCACCCGTCTCGCTCCTGTCAGGGAAGTGAAGGGATCTGCCGGGAGATCTTCTCGTCCCTCCTCCACGGTCCCAAACTCCCTCAACCAAGCGGCACACACATTGGTTTTGCCTGTTCTCGACACATATCGAAGATGTATGCGAAGACGATTGCGTGTCCAGAAAGGTTGCAAGCAAACTGGACACGTAGCGCCATGGATGTACCCAGCCGTGGATGTCCGCCAGGAATGCATCACCATCTGGTGCATCCTCAACGCTTTCCTTGTTGCAAACCCACGCCCACAGTGACAACGGCATTGAACCTGCATCCATAAGTCCTGCAGGGTATCATCCTCGTCTCCTCGACCTGGTGGACATGGATTAGCCAGCTGTACCACATAGCCATGCTTCTTGACAGCTGTCCTCAGCACATGTTGCCATCCAGGTTTGCCCTGTTGCCATGTCTCCCATAGGGCGCTCAGAGAAGTACCCCAAGTGGAAAGGTCCATCAGGGTTTTAAGCCATCCCAAGTCCTCGGCAAGCTCACCTCTCCAGCTCCGGTCTATAGCAATCTCCTCCAAGAGAAGCTCCTCGTGTAAAAAGGGGGGGTGCAAACCGAGCCAGACGCGCCGCCAAGAGAAACCGCTGCTGAGCTAAGCGGACCAGCAGAGGTGCACAACCCGTCTTCTGAAGGATAGCCTGATCAGTGAGGACCTCAGCCGCATGTGTCTTCACTTGGCCAAGAGTCCGACGCAGAAGGCCAACATAGCAGACAGTCAGCTTGCGCGCATCCGCACAGGTCAATCCACTCCAACTGCCACATCCATAGAGAAGCTTGGTGAACACTAAAGTCTCCAGCAAGAAAATTCTTGTGGGCTCTCGAAGAGCTTTGTTCAGAAATATGGGTCGCGCCAACTGTCTGAACGTGCTCCAAGCCTGCCCAATCCGCCTCTTGACTTCAAGCTGGAGGCCCCCAGCCGCAGCCGCAGCCACTGTGGTGCCCAAGTGCTTGGCATTGCCAAGTGCCAGCTGCACAGACCTCTCAGGGTGCCCAACGTCCACCTTGACCTAGTCGTTCGCAGAATGTGCGGGCTTCAGGACCGGCAAAGGTCACCATCACCTCTGTTTTGCCTCTGCTCATGTTAAGGGTCATGCCATACTGATGGAAGACATTGAAGACCACTGCAAAAGCTTTCCGGATCTCATCCTCCATCTCAGCATTACGGGTGGCAAGCAACGGTACCGCCAAGTCATCTGCCCACACCACCTGAACTGCCTGACATTGTAAAGCCTCACGGGCCATCTTCTGAACTGGGTTGGCGGCCATTTGCTCCTCAATCTGTTTGACGATGGGGCTCATCAAACAGTGAAACAGCGCATCTGCCAAAGGACTGCCCGGTCGAGAGCCACGAGCAGTATACTCCTTTCCCCTGGATGGTCGACCAAGTGAACCCATGGAGTTCTCTCATCAGTGCCTTCAGCGCACCATCAGGAAGCACCCCATGAGTCTGGATCACCTTGGCGATGATCTCCTCTTCAAAGCCCTCCTGATCTAAGGTCTGTTGCAAAGCTCGAAGGTCAGTAGGTCCTCCAAGCCCAGCACCCAGCGCGAGCTCTCGAAGAAAGGAATGGAATGCAGAGCGCAGGTCAACGTACAGCATGGCACTGGGCATCTTTGCCGCGTAAGCGTACATATAGGCTACCAAACAGGCATTCCTGGTGTTTGAAGCCTCCAATCTGGCCAGGAGGGGAGGAAGCCGCAACCTGCTCCATCAAAGGATCTCGAAATAGAGCATGGATCCTTCTCACAATGACTCCCAGCAACATAACTCCACGAAATGGCGCCGCAGGCTGCACAACCTTCAAAAGCATGTAAAGCATCCCTCCCTTCCACTGGATGGGCTCATCCATCGTAGTCATCAGCTTCAAAACTGCATCATAGACATGTGGACCAATGGCTCCTGCTGCATAGTGGATCCAACTAGGTTCAATGCCATCAGGGCCACTGGCTTTGTCTGGCTTCGTTCTTCTCAATGAGACCTCGATGTGGGTCAAGGAGGGCAGATCGGTAAAATGCCGGACACACTGCCCCGGGCCAGGCCTAGCAAGGAGCTCCTGGTAGAGGTCCTTGAGCTCCATCGGAGTGCCCGCCTCAAGGTCACACAGGTATGGCTGCCATTGCTCCCGCATTGCCTCCTGTTGGTGGGCACTTCGAGTTTCTCGCTTCGCTTGCATCTTGGGGAGGAAGAGCTTGACCTTCTGCCACAAGTCCTTTGTACTCCCAAACTCATCAATGTCTTTCCAACTCTGCTTCACCTGCTCAAAGAAGGAGTTGGCGTCACGCCGCAACAAGGTAGTCACGCGCTTCCTGAAGGCCCGGAACTGCTTGAAGGCCTGTGCCCATCTCTCACCCAAAGTCCGTTCAAAGCCAGCCAACCAATCCCAGCTCTGTTGTGGAGAAGCACACGCCCATGAGCGGAAGCATACACATAGTACATGAATCTTCAAACCAGCTTGGAGCTGGAGTGTGCTCTTCCGCCAGGCAGCCTTCTCCAGAATGGCCGGCCGGCAAGAACAAGCCTGATCTTTGGAGGAACTCGTAGAGAAGCCCCCCATTCAGCGTCTCCTCTTCTTCTCCCAAGCTACCAATGGCGATTGAGGTGACACTGCCAACCCTGGCATTGAAGTCCCCCATGAGTATCATCTCCTTCTCACGCAGATGGGGTGGGATGGCCTGCTGGAAGTCATGCCAAAACTGAGTGATCTCAGCCTCTGAGTGGCCACTGTGGGGCACACGCAAGTTGGCAATCAGCATATCCAGCGATCCTGTCCAGAGTCTAGTCAGGATGAACTGATGGGAGCTGGCCACTACCGTCCATTGGTCTTCTTGCACTTGCTGGATCTGCCCATGGCCATCCTTAAGCTTGAAAAGCTGCAGATTAAGAGCGAGCATCACTCCTCCATGGCCTCTCTGGGCCGGGTGGCTTCGAACCAGGTAGTGGTCATCCCGGAATGCCAAGTTCCTGAGCCGTGTCTCCTGGAGGGCCGCCAAAGCGATGTTCTTGGAAGCACATAGCTGAAGGTAGGCCCGTAGGGCAGTATAGGCCGACGTGTAGCTCTGCTTCAAAGTAAGCACATTGCATGACATGAACGTTCCAGAGAGTGTCAATTCATCTGCCCGTCCAATATGGTCCTGCCAGCTCTCTAAAGTTGCAGCCACTTCTTCGTCCGCTTCCTTCTTTGGTGTAGGAAGCACGAGGCAATGCCCTTGCCAAAACGGTCGAAGATCTCGGCGATACAAAAGCCAGAAAGATTGAACCCAAATACTTGGCAGAGTGTGCTCGGAGCGGCACCCGTCCCAGAAATGATCAGAACCAAAACAGTTCATAGCCGCATGCTTGGCCAAGATGTCCGCAGCCTCATTTCCAGGGTGCCCTACATGGGCTTTAGTGTAGTGGGGTATGATCTTGATTCCATGAGCCGCCTGCACCATCTGTAACAGGGCCAAAAACCACGCCAGCAGCAGATCCAGAATCGAAGCAGAAGTGAATGGCTGGAAAATGCATCCAGGAGCCTCCAACAGTCCTCAAGATGTCATGGACCCACTTCAATGCCATCATCTTTGTGAATACTAACAAAATAAAAGAATTTGGCATAAGATATTTAGATTTATTGATATAATTTCAATTGTGAATACGAACAACATACAGTAAATGATACCAATTTAGAACATTCACTATATGGATCTAGACCGTTCTGTCTCTCTCTATCTCTCTATCTCTTCTCTCCCCAGGTGTCCTTCTTTCGTTCTCCTTTTTCTTTTTCTCTCTTTTTCTCCTTCATCCTCCTTCCATTTCCTGAGACTGTGGCAGACTCAGAATCTTGCAACTCCTTCGGCAGAAAGCACAAGGCATCGTCGGACTTGGATCTTCTTCAACACATCTTTTCTAGAACATCAATGTCTTTGAACGGTTCGAAAGAAGGAACAAGAAATCCGACTTCGTCACCACTCGTCCTGGACGGGACGCAGATCTTGAGGCTCTGCATCTTTGCGTGCCTTTGTCTTCGATGTCTTCGACACAAGGCGAAATCAATGTTCTCAGTGCTCTCCACATCCATCACATCATCCATCATCCACACTTAGGGATTTCGTGCCTGCTTCATGGATTTCGTGCCCTTCAACGAAGGCCTCGGACACGTTAACTTTCTCGTCGTTCTCTCGTGCTGCGCCGCTCGACGGCTGCGGCCTCAAGACGCCGGTTTTGCTCCGGTCGCCACCGAACCACGATTTCACGGAGTCGATGGCCATGGAGATGGAACCTCGGTAAGGCACTTGTTACTAGCAAACATTGTTACTACTAGTAAGGCACTTGTTACTAGTAGCGTGGCACTTGTTCCTAGTAGCGTTTTAACATGGAATCAAAGAAGTCGCAAAAAGACACATATCACATCTGTCAAGTTGGAAGGTTTCTCTCGCCCCGGCTCCGACTTTTATCTGGAGAAGCCTCTGCGCCCTGACACCGACGGCTCGACAAACACGAAGGGTCGACACCCCGAAGCCGCACCTGGCCATCTCCAGCATCCTCACAAAAGCATGAGGCGATGAATCTCGAGTTGCGAAAATACAGAAATACATTTTGACTAAAAAAGCTAAAAAAAGAGGTTTTGACTGTTTCTTTCTCGAAAGGGTGCTCCTCCGAATTGGCGAACTTGACTGCCTCCATGAGATTGGAACTTTCCATCGCTTGCCCTGACGGTCGGCGGTGCGGTCAGCCGCCGTTGACGGTCACGCATCGGTCCTTCAGCTCGGACAGCAGCATCTTTGGCTGCGGCAACGTCCACCTGACGACTGACTAGCAAACATTGTTACTAGGTAGTAAGGCACTTGTTTCTAGTAGCTTCTTGTTTCTAGTAGCTTCTTGTTACTACTAGTAAGGCACCTGTTACTAGGTAGTAAGG